CAAATTGAGGGGATGCAATGCAAAGAGATGACCATCAAAAGTCCGGATCAACTGAGAAAAAAACCATAACAAAAAACTGCCTGACATACAGTACGTATCATGATTGCAGGATAATGTTTTAGTGCCACTTCTTTGTAATAGTTTTTTTGTATAAATTTTATTTTTACTTGCATTTGGAAAAATAAAAAAACATGCATATACAAAAAAATTCAATTAAAAAAATGTTCGAACAGTTATTATAAATTTCATAATACAAAATAAGAAATTGATTTTTATTTTTTAGTTTTTTATTATAAGAATATTTATTCCCTATCATTCTTGATACCATTCTTGCTTTAGCCGTTTAAAATCTATCCTCAAAAGGACCTACCCTCGCGATACGTACTGTACACGTATGTATATTCGTTGAGGGTTTCCTCGACTGAAAAGTGCACTGATATATATATACTGATACTGCATTGTCATTGCGTTGGCAACGCGCACTCCGAACTGAGAACCCCATGGAGTACGGGCTTCCCACTCGTACTCGTGTTTACTTTTTATGTAGTTCGCAGTTTTTTGTTGTCGAAAAAAATTGACAGCTTGACCGCAGTGTGTGTCTGTGTGTGTGTGTGTGTGTGTGTGTGTGTGTGTGTGGTGGATGGATATATTGTTATTACATTGCTGTTGCAATTGCAATTCAAGCGCGAAATCATTAATATCCTTGCGCCCTCACCCGTACTCCTCCCCGACTCCTCCCGAATCATGAATCGTGAACCCCACAGGAGTCGGCGCTGCTTGCAACATTCCCCCTTTTTGCGGGCTCTTGTTTTTTGTGGTTGTAGGTCTTTCGAGTCATCGCCTATTTTATGAGGTTTCCCGCAAACTTTTGGACTCACTTAATGAACTTTTCTGTGGGTGGAGTGCGAGACAGTTTATGAACTTTGGTTGAAGTTAAAGTTGAAGATGTTTCAACTTGACCAACAAGTAATAGTTGAATACAAATTTGCCCATCAATCAAAAGGAGACTTCAGCAACCTTCACACCAACCTCCCCCCGAACTATTTATAATTATATATCAAGAGCCTTGTCAACTTGCTAGCTCGTCCGCCCAAACACTTTCCATTTGAAAAATCCTCTCAACCCCACCCTTAGCATCCATCAAAGTCAAGTCCCGCAGATAAGGTCCCTGCCACATCCACCCACTCCTGCCTGTCGCTGTCCCATCATCGTAATGGAAGACCCTGATTACACCTTTCAAATATTTCAGCAGCAATTATGGCTCATCCCAGAGCAGAGAGATCCCTGTGCACCGCTCCGGTCAATAGTCTAATGAAATTATCAATATCCTTCGTCGGAGCCCCTGTACCCGTGGTGAGTCATCGCTCTCTAAAGGCTCTGTCTTTCTGTGAGTGTGTGTGTGTGTGTATGTGTAATCACCTACTGATGTAAATACAATATTTTCAATATAACCACTTAACGCTTAAATCCAGCCGAAACACACACACACAGCCCTTGTTCCGGGGGGTAGTAAAGTTCCTTGCCCCATAACACAACACACAGAAGAATGTTATCTGCCTGGGCTACTGCGAGGGTTGCCTGAAGAGTGTATGGAAATGGTTAGCGGGTAGAGATGGCAGAAAGCAGTGACAATTGATTTAACTACACCACTTTTTGATGGGTCACCATCAACTGCACCTATTTTAGTGAACCAATTGAGAGATCTACAATTTATTATATGTTTTTGTGGCTAAGAGATCTCCAAAATACTATTTAACCCATTTCACATTCGAGAGGTAACAGTTTTAGAATCATTATACAAAATATCTGCTTTATTTCTCATCACATAACCCTCGCCCCCGGTGCCGCGCGGACTACCACTACAATGAGCCAGCCCCTTTGCGTTTTCATTTCCCGGTGTGCGACGACACCCAAGTGGCATCGCATCGCATAGCCGGCATTGACGACCACCACAACAGTATCAATGCACAAACTGTACCCGTCACCATCGCTGTCACCGTCACCGTCAAATCGGTAAACTGTGTCTATTGAACGGGAGTCAGGGCTCTGGCTCTGGCCGAGCGAGCAACCCCCAAAAAGGCTGGCTGGCTGGCCTCACACACACACACACACACAATGAGGGTTCAAGATGCCGCGAGTGAACTGTCATATTTGCCGGGGACCTGAGTCTGAGCCCACTGACTCACCAAGTGACTGAATGACTGACTGAATGAGAGGCGAGACGAGACGAGTGCTGAGCTGGCCTGAAGAGCTGCCAGAATGGTGGTTGATGTGACTTACCAACTGACCATCTGTTCGTGGATAAAAATACTCAGAGTGGGTCGGGCATAATTTTCAGAGAATATTTATACGCTATCCTATGGCATTCTACTGAATTCTACCCCCGTTCTATGAGAAGGGCTCCGTAAAGGGTATTCAAGCTTCGACTTGCTGGATTGTTACCCTTTTCTTTTGTCGACATTCAAATGACAACTGTACTGCGGCACAAGTGGCATACGCTTCGCATGGCCCCGTGTCCCCCCGTCACCCAGCAAGTGATTGTTACTTTTGGTACTGCAACAAATTTGGTTAGATTTCATTCCGAGTACTTTTTGCCTCTCCTTTTTTTTTTTTGTAGGTAGAGACTTGAAAATTTGCATAACTCGTAGCCGACAAAAAAGACTTGAGAAATTCCTTTAGAATCTCTCCCCTTTGTATCTCATTTTTGGTTTTGAGTCGAGTGTGTCGGCATTTCCCCTAAAGCTATCACAGAGCAGGCAAAGGAGTTATTTTCGCTGGAAGGGATTGTCAAGGATTGGTTTGCACAAATGCTGCGCTTAATTGTTTGGAAAGATTTCTTAAGCATAGCCATAGAAAGGGTTGCTATCCTCCCCCTCTCTCTCTCTCTCTCTCATTCATAGATGTTAGTTTAGTGGAAGACCCTACGTAGGGAACCTTGAGTGTTTGCTGATGTTTCAGTTTCAATAAGCGGAGGGGGTTCCTTTCTGTGCTGTGCTATGCTGTGCCAATGAAGCTTAAAGGGACAAAATTGTATAAAGGGAGCTGCGCGTCATTCATTTATAAAGGTCGCTCATTCCCCTGTAAAGTTACTTTCACCTGCTGTCTGCTGTTCATTACCTCTTGATATGTGCTAGCAAAGCAGCAAAGTTTCTAAGCATCAGGCTGCTTAACCCCTTTGAACCCAGCGCCGCCGCCCCCTGGTGATGGGAAGCCTAAGCAAAGCCACTAACTAACCACAAAATCCCTTTTGTTCAAATGCCCCTCCTTACACTCCCCGACAATGATAGACGAACTAATTGGCAGAGTTCTCTTCAGTCCCAGTGGAGTTCTTCGATCTGAGCTCAATAAAGAAATCATTGGATGTGGGGAGGGGGGGAGTACGGGAAGTGCAACCAATGTCCACTGCCACTGCCACATCAATAGGCCGCTGGATGCATCAACACTTCAATGAGTGCGACGAGGATGGTGCAGCTCCTGCCGCCACACAATGAGGAGCACTTCGTCTTGTGGTGCTCTCTCACTCAACTGCCCTGCCACTGCCACTGCCGACTGCCACCACAATTATTTCCATTTGATTGTGCAAAGAAGAGTGCGTGGAGGAGCGCAGCGTTCTTTCTTCCTTATGGCCTCATTGTTTCGGGGTGAGCTCTGGTCCAGCCTTTATGTGTGGTCATTGCTTGACTGTGTTTATGGCTCTATATGCTTGAGTGCATACGGATATGGCATGGATGATGATGATGATGATGCTGCTGATGGTTGCCACTGAAGGAGCTTTCTTTAAGGGCCCAGGGACCAAGGCAGAAATTTCCATATTCTGATGACTTAAAGAGACCTAATTGGAGGTGGATTGAAGTAGTTTCGTTAGAGAAATAGATAAGTGGCATGGAACGATTTAATATCTGGATAGCCTATACCCAAGAATATGCATCCATCATCTGCTAGATAATTTCGAATAATTAATTATTTTTATTTATTATATATTTTTTTGTGTCATATTAGTTCAATTTTTGTATTTTGTTGGCATTAAAATATATATTTAAACGCAGGTTTTACATCTTTCAAAAATTCCCACCATTCCCATTATTCCACTATGTTTCTATGCCACTGTTCCCGAAGTTGCCAAATACCGTACAAATAATAGTTTCTCCTTATTAGGTACTATTTCTAATAAGTTAGACCGTTTCTTATTATCAATAAATATTTCAAAACCAATTTGAGGTACATAATAGCTCCCTTTTAAGCAAAATTCCGCCAATACTTTTACCTGCGAGTACGTGTCTGTGTGTGTGTGCGCTCATTTCTGCCCAATTAAACACGCTCTCGAGAGTCGCATAGAATCCAATTAAATGGAATTGTCGCTACTTCAAGAGTGGCAAAACTATGATAATAGCCTTACTGCAAACTTTAATGGGCATACTTAGCCATAAGTTACACTTTACCCGTTACCAGGTACCGTTCACATTAACCCCTTGGCCGCTTTATCGCCTAAACCCAGACCTACAAAGACAAAATAATGCACCCGCGTCCTGGGAGGAGGGAGGGCCTGTCCTGACATTGGCGAAATTAAGTAAAATAGTTTCGTGGATAGCTTACTGCTTGGATGGTTTCGGGCTAACCTTCGAACGTGCTTCCACCTGGTGCTTAGTCACCTTTAACCCCTTCTGCGGCATTATACAAATGACATTGTTCACTTTTTTTTCTGGAATTTTACGTTGCATTGCAGCATTTTAACGGTCACTTTTGATCAATAAGAAAATATTTTATACTTTTTGCAATTACTCCATCGACTAAATCAGCCTTAAAGCTATTTTTTAAAAAGCTATTGCTAAGATTTCAGCACATGCTGGTGTTAATATGGTGACACTTAGCTGTTTGTTTACATTTTGTTTTAGCAAAACAAATATCTGAATTGAGTTTCGTTGCTCAGAAAAAAATTTAAAACAAATTAAAATCAGTTGCATGAATACCCACACCCATAGGCTAAGGTAACAATCCTTTAAAAGTGAATATGCGCTTTGGTGTGAAAAATGTGCTTTTCAATTAATTGAGTGAAGTTGCTTTTAATTTCGGGAAAATTTGTCTTAAAAAATGCTCGCCATTCCGAATATTCTTGATCTACCCTTGGATTTAATCAGCTTGATATTTTCGCACATTCAGAACTTGGAAGATCGACTGCAATTGGCCCAAGTTCACTCCACACTCGCCAATGGCTTCGCCTATTACGCCTCTAATGCCCACCGCATGCTCGACTGTGACGAACTGCCTATTTCGTACTGGTCAAAAATATTGTACCACGCTGGGGCATCCGTTCTCACCATTACATTGCGAAACAAGGCCCATATTGTGGCTCTACTGAAGCTGGCCTCCGATCATTGCCCCAATGTGGAGGAATTACAAATTCCGGTACGATCCGAGTTTTGGAGTGTCATCGTCCCATTGCTATTGTCACTGAAAAAATTATGCCGGATTGGACTGCGGAACGATTTTCGTGCGATCGATTTCATCGATACGTTGCATGAATTTCCAGGGCTAAGGAGTTTGTTTCTGATTGGTTTCCCCAATGAAAGTTGTAAGTTTTCGCAGATAATTATTTTCGGTTTTTTACGTTTGATTTGAAACCTACCTTTCCAGTGATTCGAGTCAATGAGTTGCGTAAGCTAACATCATTGCGTATAGTCAATAGCGAACCGATCGATATATACGCATGGTTTGCCCCATTGAGAAACTTAATAACATTGGAAGTGAAGGTCGGTTTTGTTAAATGTCCGGACCATTTGGATGGCAAACGACTGTGGCCAAAAATGAAGTATCTCAACTTTACTTATGGCATTTTTCTATCCGAATTGCCATATCTGCCGAAGCTTAAACAACTGGGCATTGCCGAAATTTTGCCAGCTATGAAACTTTCCCAGATGTTTGGCAAATCGCTGTCAAAGTACGCAAATACTTTGCGTGGATTGCGTATACTTTACGACAATCAAACCATCGATGCCGACGATGCAAAGACCATTTCCGAATTGAAGGCACTGAAACATGTTTTCCTACCGGGCATCAGTAATAGATATATTGGCCTCCTCAAGTCTGATCAGCTGCAGGAGCTGTATGTGCGAGACTCGAACCATCTAACCAATTCGGGCATTCTGCGTGTGCTGCGTGGATGCAAGAATTTGCGTGTCATCGATTTCTTTGGTTGTAAATACATTAATAAACACGTGGTTGGGCCGGCCCTCAAGATTCTAAAGGAGAATGGCGTTAAGCTCGATAATCCAGTGGAATTGCGCGTAAATATGGAATTTGGAAATCATGTAAGTGGAAGATTTCCATGAGAAATGCGTTTAATTTTAAATTATATCTCTGATTGTAGATTTCTCTCGAGGATCTCAAGTTGTTGATCATCACACGGTCAACAGCTGATGGGCAACTGATCTAAGATATCTGAAACCGACGAAATTATGATAATCATTAATAATTTTTTTTTTTTTTTAAGTTTTGTTAAAATATTTTTTATTGAGACTGACTTTACACATTCTTTGAATTTTTTTAAACAATTGACATAACTTAATCACATTTAAGCAACCCCTTCTGCAGAAGAGGCTAATGAAAGGTAAAAGAAACTGAAAATTCAATAACAAAAAAACTTGGATATATTTGTTTGGGACATATGTATAAAGTTAATTTGGAAAGATGTGGAAGACTTTAATAATATGCAGCAAACATTAAAATCTGCCCAATCTGCTGGATAACATTAACCAAACAAACTCCCAGCTTCCAATTGGTTTTTGACCCTTTTCGCACCTCTTCCTTTGGGGCCTGTCGAAGATTTCTGGTGTTTTGGCACCCAATTATGTGTAGACAGATACAGAAGGCTAAAATCGAGTATGCTTTGGATATTCGTGGTCGTTTACATCTCATTATCTGCAGCTCCTTCGCCTTTCACCTACTGACCAGAAGCCCGTCCTGACAATTGCCAATCACAGCAGCCAAAAATAAAATACAATCCGAAAAACCAAAAAGGGGGAAAACGAACTCCACTCCACTCCATTCGTGCCACAGAAAAATCCACAAGAATTACCATTTTGACCGCAGACAAATTAGTGTTATTAACACTTTTTTTTCTCTGTCTTCGTTTTTTTGTGTTTATGGTTTTTGCTGTTGGCTGTTGGCTGTTAATGCGCTGCTTTTTGGGCGATGGCAGAAACATTTTTCACGCTTTTGGCCACGCGCAGAGAGATATGCTGGCCTCTCCCGTAGCAGCTCCTCCTCTGTGGCTGCAACTGGAACTGCAACCGGCAGGCACTCCCAGACCTGGATCCAGAGCCAGACCTGACCGCAGGTTTTAATATTGCAAAATGCTGAGGCTTCCCTCCTCTGGCGCTGTTCATTTGGTTTGGATTGGTTAGGGGTTCGGTTCGGTTCGGGTTTGGCATTTTGGAGCTGAGCTCCTGTGAAAACAAACAACAATAATACTTACATAATGTCTGGGGGAACCAACCCCTCATCCATACCGCTCATGTCATCGGCTTCATTCGTAAAAAAAAAAAAAAAAACCATTAAAAATGCATTGTGATTTTTATTTAATATTTTTCATGCCGTATTTTTTTTTATTGGCATTGTGGCAAGGTGTTGACTGGGTTTCACTTTTGAACTTGCCCCAAGAGAGTGGACTGTAATGTTTTGACTGGTTTTTAAAACATTAAACATTTTTAAATTAATATTGTTCAGTGTTCAGTTTTAATTCAGAAACATACCTAATAATTCTAATATAAATAATACTAATATATACATATGCTCATAGAAGTCAGCATTACGCAGTTCAAAATATTTTTAAAGCAACTCTCGCCTGCCTCTGCCTTCTTTCCTTTGCAACTTTTTTTTTGTATTTATACTTTAGTGTATTAACCAGTAGCTGCTGCTGCTGCGGCTGCTGTTCGGAAGATATGTATGTATTTTTTTTCGGCACTGAGTAAATTGCTCGTAATGATGGTGCATATTGCTACATTGGCAAATTATTAAGCAAATTAACTTAATAAGTTAATTTTAAAGAGCGAAATTCCCTCCGTATTACCTATCTACATAAATATGTACATATGTACATACATATGTATCAATTCTGGCCCCAAAATTTCTGTGGATTTCCCTGTTATGGCCTCGTGTTTGCATTTGCTAATTGCAACTTTTTTGTGTCGTGTCTCGAGTGTTTTTCAGCTGTCAATTCCAATGTTTTCAATACTGTATTTGGCACATGCTTTGGGAAGCAGATGGAAAGGCCAATTTGTTCTTGCGACACTTGAGGGTATTTTTGGCCCTTGACAAAACAATATCCGCCGAAATGATGACAAAAGGATGCTGCGACCGAAACTCTTCAAGTGTTTCTCTCATTTCACACTAATTGCACGAAGAGGTTCATGCTAATGTATCTGTTGTGGGAGTGGTTTATTCAAGGCATTTCAAACGATAAAACTAAAGCTTGAAACAGCAAACAAACAAAAACAATAACAAGAAATCTGGTAGCTCTTCAATGGGGACATCTTTGCGATGGTTTCAACCGTGGAAAAACCTTTGATTGAATGGAAAATATACACAGAATGGAGCGGACTAAGAGTATATGGTTATCAGGTAGTTAGAACGATGGCTGCTCGAGTCTCTCTAGAACCCATTGTCTGTTCCAACCTTTCTCTCTCCATTGTCTCCTACTTATTACCCCCCACCTTAGGGCATTATAGCGCCAGTTAATTGCCATTGGAAACCGAAGAAACCGTAACCCATACGAAGACGTCGCGACATCGAGTGTCTGCCATCATCCCCCCACCCCCATCACCCTCTGTCTGCGGTTAATCGTGGCCTCGTCTTCATATGTTAATGGAGGAGAAGCGGCACTACTCTCGGGTGTACAGAACCTTACTTAATTTACCAAACAGATCTCAGGCCGGGCCTCAATTTTGTCTAATTTACTTGCCGTGATTTGCAGCAATTTTTTGTTCTAAAGTGTCTAAGAAGGTTCTAATGTTATGGGCTCTCAAATTGTTCTCTCTCTCTCTGTCTGCTAATGCATTTCGGTTTTCATTCTTTCCCTGTGTGCTCTGTGCGGCGATAAAGAAAATTGTTTATAATGAGGTTCTGTGGTCAACGCTCAATTGCGTTCTACCCTAATTGTCGGCGGAGCCACTGGACTTACGCTGCCTGCCAGAGACAGAGCCAGAGGCGAGCAGAGTCTGTGTGGTAGGCATTGGGAAGGGGTTTTCATCCTAATGATTATTTCTCCCAGGCTAATGCCTAACTAATTGAGTAATTTTTGTTTGACTGCGCCTGGTATCAATCATTTATTCCTTCTCCTTTCGATTCTTCAACTCGTTTAGTAAGTTTCCGGTTACCACTTTTACCCTTCTCAGTCTCACCCAATCGTCTCCTTGGGCATTGCAAATTTCCCAAAAGACGCCCAAGACTTTACGCTTTATTGTTACAAATTTGCTCTGGCTTGTCCGTGTCCTATTTGCAGCTGGATCGGGTACGACACAACTCCTTTGGGGCCGAGGTGGTTTCTTTCACTTCTCGCTCGGCCAATCAATCATTTCCTTGACTTATTCTCTCTACCCCTGACTGTATCGGGGCAAACGGTAAATAAATGTGACTATAAATCGAAAAATTATAAACGCCTAAGCATTGACCATTTGACCATCATTTGGTTAAGCCACCCCCGGTCAGGAAAATGTTGTGGGGGGTTTGAAAAAGGTGATTCTCAACGAAGTTCGGATACTCTGTGATTTAATTGTTGGAAGATTCAGAAGTAATCTAAGGATTACCATCAGGGTTATTTGGATACAAGTACAAAAGTTTTCCCTGGATAGCATACATATATACATATATCTTAAAAAGAGAGATTAATATGTGCGTATAGAATAGATTGATATAGATTTAAAATGCGCTTTAAAAAATCAATATAAAATGAAGTTATAATATTATAAGTTTTTTTATATTATTGAATCTCGTCACATATTCGTGCTACCCCAAATAGACCCCAACAGCATGCATTTGACTTGACCAACTGGTTAAGCCCTTAACAAATCCCCGAATTCCCCCAAAGATTTTACTAACCAATTCAATTGATAAAGAACCTGGGCTAAACTCTTTCTTTTCTGTTGCGAAAAACTATTGGGGAAATTTATGCATTTATTTTGACAAGCGGCATGATTTATTGACCGTGAGTAATTTGTACTGGCCCTGACAGCAGGAAGGAGGAGACCCGACCCGGTAGTGGACAGAAACAGAACCACCCCACAGTCCCACAGTCATCTTCTTATCGAGAAGATCTTCTGTGTTAAAAAAATGTTATTTGCATTGACGCATTTGTAACCGCAACGAATTTGTTTGTAATAAAAATGTAAATGTAAATGTCCATGGGATGCCACTTCAAGACGGGTTTTTTTGGCATTGTTTTTGTGCCGCCCCACAACCACACACAAGCGAACCGCAAGTCGACCCAAGGAAAAGAAAACGAGTTGAGCAAAGAAATGAAATATGACCGCAAGCTGACACTCGAGGATGGCCAAGGGACTCGGCTGTGGTATTGGGATGAGGTTTAAAGACTGGACATCGGGAAAAGGGGAACCCAACCGGGAGTGCGTAACCCTTCTGGTCAAAGGGGATTGCGCACTTGGCCGAGTGGTTTGGCAGGTTGTTGCAGAGGTCCCGGTCCCTTGACCCACTTGCATATGGCATAGAAGGACTGTCCTGTGCCTTTGTCAGTTAATAAATGTGATGTTCATATATCATCGTCGCTTTGATTTATGGATTCGAAATGGAAATTCTATGGATGTGAATTGATAAAAGATTGGCATAACCATAGCCATTAAGCTTATGTCTTTAAACAAAAAATTTACAAACAAATTTAACTAACAGAAATCATTTCCATTTTATTTATTTTATTTCTTATTTATTTTTTCCAAACTGAAAATATTTTTATGGCTGGAAAACGAATCCCACACTTAATTTAAATTACATTTTAAAACTATTCAAGAAAATCACTGAACTACGATAGGTAAAATTTATGTGCAAATTAAAATTTTTGTATATACATATTATTTCTAATTTAATGTTTAATATGGATATTGCTCCAGCCTAGGTCTAATTTAAGAGATATAGACATATTCGTTTGTTCCCAGCTAAGCTCTCCAGAAATTGTTGCATGAGCATTAAACAAACCTGCCCCTTAAGGTTATTCCTCTTAGTCTTTGCAGCTGCCACATATACCCGGTAGATGCCATTGAAAACGCTGCTGGGGAGCATTTGCCTAACATTGAGGCCCCCGCAAATAGAGAACCAAACATCAGTGTAATTTACAGATCACCTCGATCGGTGCACTCCACCATTCTCATTTCTGTGGCACCTCTATCCCCAAATGCGCCTCAAGTGGAAGCATTTGCGCCCCTTTTTTGTAGCCTGCCACATGCTGCCAAGGTGACGCCTTTTTATTGCTCCATTTGTCGTTAAATATAGAACCAGAAAAAAGTGTGGAATATGTTCTGGGGGAAACCAAATTAAATTCAACAAATTGTAAAAAGATTCAGAGAAATGAAAAAGCCGACGAGGTGTGAAGTTATAATGAATTATTCGAAATTTCTATCTAGATTTGTAAATGAAATATGTTAATAATTAATTAGCTGGAGTTTGGCAGGGGACG